GGAAGACTGGATATCCACATGCAAAAGAATGAAGATAGATCCTTACCTAACATCATATACAAAATAAAACCCAAATGTAAGACATAAGACTATAAAACTCTTAGGAAAAAGCATAGAACAAAAATTTCACAAACTGGATTTTGGCATTGATTTCTTGGCTATGACATCAAAATCACAGGCAGAGAATAAAATTTTTTTTTCTTTTTTTTTGAATAAAAATTTTTAATTGGATTTTAGAGAAATTAAAAATTTTGTACATCAAAAGACAATCTCGACAGAGTAGAAAGGTAACCCACAGAAAGGAATTATTTGCAAATCATATATGTAATAAGGGCTGCTGCTGGTGCTGCTAAGTCGCTTCAGTCGTGTCCGACTCTGTGCAACCCCATAGACGGCAGCCCACCAGGCTCTCCTGTCCCTGGGATTCTCCAGGCAAGAACACTGGAGTGGGTTGCCATTTCCTTCTCCAATGCATGAAAGTGAAAAGTGAAAGTGAAGTCGCTCAATCATGTTCGACTCTTAGCGACCCCATGGACTGCAGCCTACCAGGCTCCTCCGTCCATGGGATTTTCCAGGTAAGAGTACTGGAGTGGGTTGCCATTGCCTTCTCCATCTGATAAGGGAGTAATACCCAAAATATAGAGAACAACAACATAAAATTAAACAGTATAAAAACAATCTCTTTCAAAACTTGGCAAAGGACTTGAAGAGCTATTTCTCCAAAGATATACAAATGGTCAATTAAAACATGAAAATATGATCAATATCACTCATCATTAGGAAAATGAAAAATCAATAGTAAAATGAGATACCATTTCACACCCATGTCAAATCAAAAAGTCTAGAAAATAAGAAGTGTTGGCAAGGGTGTGAGGGAACTGGAACACTTGTGCATTGTTGGTGGGAATGTCAAGTCATAAAGCTACTGTGAAAAGCATTATGGCAGCTCCTCAAAAAAATTAAAAATAATATTGCCACATTTTCAGCCATTTGTTCTTGGTGTACACACAAAATAATTGAAAGCATGGTCTTGAAGAGATATTTGCATTGTCAATAGCAACATTATTCACAACTGAAACTTGGTTACAACCCAAGTGTCCATCAATGAATGAATGGGTGTGTATAATGTGGTATAACCATGAAATATTAGGCAGCCTTTAAAAGGGAGGAAATTCTGCAATATGCTCTAATATGGATGAACCCCATAGACATTATGCTAAGTGAAATAATCCAGTCACAAAAAGACAATTTACATGAAATACTGAAGATAGTCAAAATCATAGACAGAAGTTAAAATTATGGTTTCCAGGAACTGGCAGGAAATAAATGGGGACTTACTGTTTAGTGGGTATAGGATTCCAGTCTTACAAGATGAAAAGAGTTATGGAGATGGACTGTGGTGACAGTTGCAAAACATTATGAATATATATAAAATATCACTAAGTTGTACACTTTAAAATGATTAAGATGGTGAATTTTATGTTATGTCTATTTTGCCACAATGAAAAAAATTAGAAAAAAAGAGATGCTGAACTTCCTTTATAATTAATTAAGTAAAACTTAAAAAAATAAAAAAGGTAGAGATCAAAAACACTGCAACAGAAATGAATGATGTCTTGAATGTGCTAGTTAGTAGACTGTATATGGCAGAGAGAAGAATCCCTGAGCTTGAGGAGACCTCAACAGAAATTTTCAAGAGAAAAAAGAATAAAAAAGAAGTAACAGACTACCTAAAAACTGTGAAACAAATACAAAAGGTATAGCATACACATAACAGAAACACCAGAAGGAAAAGAGAGAGAGAAAAAGTATAAAATATTTGAATCAATAATGACTAAGGGGACTTCGCTGGTGGTGCAGTGTTTAAGAACCTGCCTTACAATGCAGAGGATGCTTGTGGGAAAACTAGGGTCCCACATGTGGCAGGGCAACTGGGCCCACATACCACAGCTACTGAGCCCACACTCTAGAGCCGGCAAGTCACAACTACTGAAGCCCATGCTTTGCAACTAGAGTCCAAGTGCTTCAACAAAAGATCCCAGATGATGCTCAGTAAGATCCCTCATGTTGCAACTAAGACCCAGTGCAGCCGAATAAATAAATAAACTTTAAAAAATGACTGAGAATTTTTCCCAAATTAAAGTCCAACACCAAACCACAGACCAGGAAGCTCAGAAACACCACGCAGAATAAAAGCAACAAAACAAAACCCCCAAAACTCTACACCTAGGCATATCATTTTCAAAGTGCACAAAGTCAAAGATAAAAAATATTAAGGAAGTCTTCAGGTAAAAAACAAAAAAAAACCTTATCTATTAAGGAACAAGGATATGAATTATATAAAAAATCTCCTCAGAAATCATGCAAGAAGAAAGCGGAGTGAAATATTTTAAATGTTGAGGGGAAAAAAAAAAGCCAATACTTCAGAATTCTGTATCCTTCAAAAGTGAGGGATAAAGACTTTCTCAAGCAAACAAAAATTGAGGGAATGTATTGCTAGTAGGGGCTTTCCAGGTGGTGCTGGTGGTAAAGAACCCACCTGCCAATACAGGAGACACAAGAGATGTGGGCTCGATCCCTGGGTAGGCAGATCCCCTGGAAGAGGGCACAGCAACCCAGTCCAGTACTCTTGCCTGGAGAGTCCCATGGACAGAGGAGCCTGGTGGGCTAGAGTCCATAGCATTGCAGAGAGTCAGACATGACTGAAGTGGCTTAGCATGCATGCACGTGCATATGTAGGGCAAGGGGTATGTGGAAACTCTGCTTTTTGCTCAGTTTTTACTGTAAACTACTATAAAAAACATAGTCTGTTTCCTTAAGTAGAGGGAAGAATTAATCAATACAGAAGAAAAATTAAATTGAAACATTACCAGTAAAAGTACAGACATTATCAATAAAACCAACAGTTTAAAAGTGGCAAGTGTGATCAAGAACAGTAACTGGAAAAAGACTTCTGAACCTTCTAAAAATGACTAACATTATAAACATATATTTATACCACGCATGTCTGCCGCTACTCAGTCCAGAAACAGTGCCATTTAAGCAAAGCTAGCAGAGAAACAGAGGTCCTGCCAGATTCTGATGAAGAATACAATGACAGAATTGTCTTATAATTCAAAACATTTGTAGAAAAATAGCCTATGAGAATTAAGTGCATTCAGTATACTGGAGTCAAAATCATCGAACAATTTAGTTTTAAAAGTTTGGTGGAAAATGAAGTGCAATTTTAAATCCTTTAACTGAGTGTTTCCAGAAAAGTTCTCGGTCCCCACAAAAAGAAGCCTAATATAATCTCCTCTTTGAGCTCTAAAATGATTTAAAATAAAAAAAGTCAATAATTTTAAAGCCTTAAATTAATGCAGTTCCACAGAATATTTGTGGCATCCTCATCTTATCTGGAAAGTCTCTATTCAATCCTCCCAAACTTCTCTTTAAAAAGATATAAAGGCACACGAGAGGAAGGAAGTAGTCCTCTTCCAAAACGCTAGTCAATTATGCTTCCATTTTCTCCACCTCCAGCCAAGACTACCATAAGGACTGTTATAAAGTCTATCCGTTAACTTTTTTATAAATAGGTCATTTCAGAACAGAAAGCCTCAGATCTAATAAAAAGGTGATCTACGGCTGAACTTTGCCAAAAAGGAAAAAGAAAATAAATAAAAACAAGAGATAGTGACAGAGAGAAAGAGAGAGAAGGCAGGAACAGAGGGAGGAGGAAGATGGCAAGACAAAACAAAACAAAACAAAACAAAGGCAACAAAAACAACCCCACAGGCTGTAAAAATTCTCAAAAATATTGGATAGTGTCAAGGCTTTGATTGTGACCGTCACTGCAGGAATTCTCAGATAACTAAAGGGCTGCTGCCCCCTCATGGTGAACTGAAAGATCTCATTTAGAAGCGTGAATTCTGCAGTCACATCTATTAATATATCCGGACTTCTCTTTTTTTGAACTTTTTTTTTTTTCTTAAAAAGCCACACACTTTTTCTATAGAAAACACCCACTCTTCTGGACATATAATTAAAAATAACTGATTTAATTTTTGATGACTGTGGTATTATATAGCACATGCATAGGAAAGGAATAAAATATAGAAATTCACTTTAATTCACTTTTTACTTGGATTGAGATGTCAAACTCTTTTTTCCCAAACATGACTGTGGGGCGAAACAGTCTGCTGTTACATGTTACAATTCTTCCCTGAACACACACTCTACAAAACTAACAGTGAAATTACAAAGTTTAGAGAATAGTAAAGTTGAAAGTGATCTTATGGCCTCATGTTCACCTTCCCTGAAACAACCTGACTGAAAAATCAAAAATCTTTCCTTCTTGTCTTTTGTATTGTCTTTCCAATTTCATGTCTTATGTCAAGCCATGTGATCCTAGCTATAGAAATGGGCAAACTCAACAAATTCACCTACAAGAAACTTTCATATCTTATAGCAAAGCAAAGCCACATGCCTTTTTCTTCTTCAGGGGAGAATATGCTGTAGTGTCAATTTTGATCCAGGCAAAAAATGACCTCAAAATCTAATCTTTTAATTGCCTGTCTCATCCTACTAGAATATAAATTCCAGGAAAGTAGGAATTTGTCTATCTCGTTCTAGGTCATAGACAGTTTAAAACACTTCTGTGTCAATGCAAAAATTAACGTTGGTGTTTACACAATGACAATCATCATTTTTTCCCCCACTAGCACCTGTATCTTGGCTGCATTTTTCAAAGCACCTGATGCCATATGGACAGAAATTTCTCCATCTACCCACAAAACTATGTTAGTTTTCACTTAAAATTCAAAGGGGAGCCGGCCCCTCGTGCCCACGACACACGCGGAAGTGGCAAAGGCGGGTCTTGTTCAGGACATCTCGCCCGTCCTGAAGGACCCCGCCTCCCGCCTCCTGGTGAATCGCCTGAAGAAGGCCCACAGCGGCAGAATCGACCCCATCGCCGGGCCTAGACTCCCGCGGTTTCCTTGTTTGCTCTGTCCTTGGCCCAGGAGCTGGGCTTGGGCTACGTTCTCATCCGAAATCAAGGGAAGCTGCCGGCCCCCACCGCGCGCGCCTCCTATGCGCTGAAATACGGGAGGCTGAACTGGAAATCCAGAGATGCCCTGGGATCAGGGCTGAAGGTGGTGGTTGTGGACTGTTCTGCTCGCCACTGGTGGAAACATGCGCGCCGCCTGTTGAGCTGCAGGCTGAGGTTGCTGGAGTGTGTGAGCCTGGTGGAGCTGACCTCACCGAAGGGCAGGGAGAAGCTGGGGGGCTGTGCCCTTCTCCCTCCTGCAGTATGAGTGACCCCAGCCCCAAGCCACCTGGAAGAGAAGACCAGCATGGGCAGATGCAGCAACCCCCACTGGCCACCAGGGGGCACTAGCCGCCCGCCTGGACTTGCTCTGTGTCTGTGGCAGAGTGACTTTCTTTCAGAGTGGGGCTGCCCCTCGGGTCCTTGCTGGGCTCTGGAAGCCCCACGGCCGGGAGCTGCCGGCTGGTTGATAGTGGAATGAGAATAAACAACTTTCTAGGAAAAAAAAAATTCAAAGAGATCAACTTTGAGAAACTACTGAATTTACTTTGATCTCTATTTTCAAATACTAACCTAATGCTTATGCTTTGTAAGTCAAGACTCATTCTTGAAAAAAAGAAAAGCTGTATCCAGCTTTACAGGAAGCATAATAAATACTGTAAGATATTTAAAGTGTATATCATGATGATTTTATATAAATATGGATTGTGAAAGTATTCCCCCCATCTAGTTAATTGATGCATCTAAGATGCAATTTATACAAATTATATTCATCACTGGAGCTTGAAATGGGGTTCCCAATAGCTGCATCTTAATTCTTAGAAACTAAGTGAACTTTGCTATTTCCATACCTTCTTTGAATGCTTCAATAAGAACCTCTTCTCCATCAAATCTGTGTAAAAACTAAGACTTCTATAACTTTGTTCACCTACTTTGACCCCACTTCAGCCCTATAACTGTTTTGAGCTCCCACTTAGATGACTTGAGAACAAATCTGAATTCCTGTATTTTGCACATTCTTCAAATTTTTCCAAAGTTGGAAGAGAAAATCTAAAGGTAAAAGTCTATTTTTAATTTTATTACCAAGTCTGATTTGTATAGAAATTAATCTCCCAAAATAAATTTTATACACACACATACATATTCACAGTAGGACCTCAATGGGTGTTCATCATATTATTCTTAATAACATATCTACATTATCCATATTCTCTTATAAAGATGAAAAAATTAATGAAATAAAAACAAAAGAATACATGGTTGCTATCAGATTAAACAAAATTCAAAATGCAAATAGATTTAACAAGAGGGAGTTTACGTAATAATAAAAGATACAATCATAAAGAATATACACATTCTGTTTCTTTATGGACTAAATAACATAAAGCTAAATCTTACAGCTCTATAGGAACTCGATAAAATCATCTATTATGATAATACCCTTTAATACAACTCTTTCAGAATTTGATGCTCAAATATACAAAATAACAATGTATAAAACTTTATTCTCTAGCATTGAAACATGTATATTATCAATCGTAAAACAGATCGCCAGTTCCAGGTTGGATACATGAGACAAGTGCTCAGGGCTGGTGCCCTGGGAAGACCCAGAGGGATGGGATGGGGAGGGAGGTGGGAGGGGGGATCGGGATGGGGAACACATGTAAATCCATGGCTGATTCATATCAATGTATGGCAAAAACCACTACAACATGGTAAAGTAATTAGCCTCCAACTAATATAAATAAATGAAAAAAAACTTTATTCTCTATAAATGATATATATTAAACTTCTGATATCCATGAAACATTTTTTAAAATGAATCAAAATTTCAACTCTATTGGCTGTGTAATCTTGGAAAAGTTACTGATTTTTCTGAGTTTCTATTTCCTTTTCTGTAAAATAAAAATTGTCACACCTACACTTCCCTGGTAGCCCAGTGGTAAAGAATTCACCTGCCAATGCAGGGGACACAGGTTTGGCCCCTCATCCAGGAAGATCCCACATGCCACAGGGCAACTAAGCCAGTGAGCCACAACTGCTGAGCCCATGTGCCCTAGAGTTCAGGTGCCACGAAAAGAGAAGCCACCGCAATGAGAAGCCCGCACATGGAAACAAAGAGTAGCCCTCGCTCGCCAATAGAGAAAGCCCAAACACAGCGATGAAGACCCAGCACAGCCAAAAATTAATAAGCAAGCCTAAAAAAAGAAAGAGACTATTATGAACCTAGAAAGTAAAAAACACTAAAGAGATTAATGAATTTCAGTAGGATTATAAGAAACATATAAGCTAAAGTTTATTACAGAGAAAAATAAATAAGAAAAAACAGTGGTACACGATAGTAACAATAAAATGCCTCGGAATACATTATGCTGTGCTGAGCCTAGTTGCTCAGTCATGTCTGACTTTTTGCAATCTCATGGACTGTAGCCCACCAGGCTTCTCTGTCACTGGGATTCCCCAGGAATACTGGAGTGGGTTGCCCTGCCCTCCTCCAGGGGATCTTCCCAACTCAGGAACTGCACTGGGGTCCCCTGCATTGCAGGTGGATTCTTTACTGTCTGAGCCAGCAGGGAAGCCCAGGAATACATTATAGGGGGTGTGTATGGAGGAGATTCTGAAACTTTATTGAAAGACGTAAAATAAGAACTCAATAATTGGAAAGATATGCCATGTTTCTGGATGGGAAGATTTCTTAAAATGTCAGCTTATAAATTAATACACAGATGTAATGAGGCTCCTGTCAGAATTTCAAAGAACTTTATTTTCTAATTGGATAAAATGATTGCCAAGATAAGTTGTTTAAAAAAAAACGTAGTGGGGGGGGGGAAGCTGGCTTTATAAACGTACTACAAATCATTATGGTTCGGCACAGGACACATTTGCTGAACAGGAAAGAATCAAGAACTTATTTAATTGCCTACCTATTGATTGAAAAAACATCCAGATCAGTCTAGTACTTTGTACTTTGGTACCTTCACTTCCAAATTTCACCCATATGTCAGGAATCACACGTTTATAATCATGATTCACTTCCAGAATCTCAACACCAAGCATCTCTACTACGACCTATATTTCCAGCTCATGGCTTTAACATATCGATTCTGAAATATTTGGCCTAAGAGGGACATTCATTCTTCGATTCTACCACTTTCCCCAATCAATTTCCTGTTGACCACATTAGTTAACAATGACTGCTCACTTATGTGTGGAATCTAAACAATATAACTAGTGAATATAACAAAAAAGCAGCAGACTCAGATACACGGAAGAAAGTGGTGGTTACCCTTGGGGCAAGCAAAGGGGAGAGGAGCAGTAGAGTAGTGGGGGATTACAAAATGCATAGTATACGACTGAGTGAGAACGCGTGCACATGCTGCATGGATATCTTGACAATACAGGGAATATAGCCATTACTTTATAATAACTATGAATGGAGTTAAACTTTTTAAAATTGTGATTACATTCTATAACTGTGTTGTTGTTCAGTCATTAAGTTGTGTCCAACTCTTTGCAACCCCATGGACTGCAGGATGCCAGGCTTCACTGCCCTTCACTATCTCCCAGAGCTTGCTCAAACTCATGTCCATTGAGTCAGTGATGCCATCCAACCATTTCATCCTATTGTCCCATTCTCCTTTGGCCTTCGATCTTTCCCAGCATCAAGGTCTTTTCCAATGAGCTGACTCTTCGTATTAGGTGGCCTAAGTATTGGAGCTTCAGTATCAGTCCTTCCAGTGAATATCCAGGGTTGATTTCCTTTTAGGATTGACTGGTTTGATCACCTTCCTGTCCAAGGGACTCTCAAGTCAACTGTAACGTATGTAAAATTGTACAGCAACTATAGTGTAGATAGCACCTGCATGCTCAGCGGTGTCTGACTCTTTTGCTGTAGCCCACTCTTTTGCCATGAACTGTAGCCCACCAGACTCCCCTGTCCAGTGGATTTCCCTGGCAAGAACATTGGAGTGGATTGCCATTTCCTATTCCAGGGGATCTTTCTGACCCTGGGATTGAACCCAGTTCTCCTTTTCCTGCACTGGCAGGAAGATTCTTGCAACTACGTTGTTGCTCTTAAGTCAGTTAGTCATGTCAAACTGTTTGTGACCCCAGGGACTGTAGACTGCCAGGCTTCTCTGCAAATAGGATTTCCCAGGCAAGGATACTGGAGTGAATTGCCATTTCCTTCTTCAGGGGATCTTCCCCACCCAGGGATTGAAATTGCGTCTCCCGCTGGGCAAGCAGATTCTTTAACTAAGTAATTTGAACAACTTGACTGTATATCCATGGTGAGATAAACACCTTAAGGTCAAAAAAGAATGCAAGTGAATTTTGACATTTTCTTAGCAGGTTCATGCTTGGTAGTTCTCTTGGTATTGCAACTCTGAACTCATTCTGTAAGAATCATTTATTTGTACTTCTATTAATGAACAGTGAACTGTGCAAGAGGCACATGTTAACAGATATGTTTATTAATGTACATGGTTATGGTATCTTCCCAGCACTGCAAGATTTATTAGTGTTGTTTTAGAGAAAACTTGGATGTTGCTTGTGTTTTTTAACCTTAAAAAAAAGGTGGTATGAGTATGACACGGGAATATTTAAGTAGCTTAAAATTCCTAGTGAAGAAAATATGGCTGAAGGTACATGAATCTCAAAAGGACAACTGCCTCAAGGCCAGGAGTCTGGACCGTCTCCTGATGTGGTGGCAGGTTTGGACTTCAGAGGCTGGGACACACAAGATGCCTTAGAGCCTGATGTGAGGTAGGCTGACAACATCCGAGACTTCACAATGCAGGGAACCTGGTAGCATTTTCAACAGATACCTCATTTGCACTTAATGGCTCTCCTTGGAAATCAGAGTATCATTCATTTCCAGTTCACTGTTCTACACTACTTTTCTTCTTGTTAAAAAGATCACAGAGAAAAAGCACTTGCTGAAGAAAAAAGGAAAATATACATATACACATGTGGAATGAGAAACTATAACCTTAAAAAACTAATTTTCAAATGAGTATATCCAATTTTGTTCCAGAAAAATTTTAAACCTTCAAAGCAAAAAAAAAACAACCCCCCCCCAAACTTTGTTTTCTCTACATTAATTATAAAAACTGACTTAGGAATAGAAAAACTGAGAAGACCAATAACCATGATATGCTATTATTCAGTTCAGTCACTCAGTTGTGTCCGCCTCTGTGATCCCAAGGACTGTAGCACGCCAGGCTTCCCTGTCCATCACCAACTATACTATTATTACTAACAGATTAAACGTACAGTTACTCAGCTGGTAGAGAATCTGCCTGCAATGTGGGAGACCTGGGTTCAATCCCTGGATTGCGAAGATCCCTTGGAGAAGGGAAAGGCTATCCACTACAGTATTCTGGCTTGGAGAATATACAGTCCATGGGGTCGCAAAGAGTCAGACACGACTGAGCGACTCTCACCTTCACAAGTGTACTGAAGTGTACCATTGCACTTTATATTGTCTTAACTCATTTAGTGCTCAGAACAAACCTATAAAGTGTTGAGACTATTATTATCTCATTTTCAATTTGAACAAACTGAGACCCAAGTCTAGGAAATGTGCAATAAATGATGACCCTATATGCGAGACAGCAAGAGACACAGGTGTATGGAACAGTCTTTTGGACTCTGTGGGAGAAGGCGAGGGTGGGATGATTTGAGAGAATAGCATTGAAACATGTATATTACCATATGTGAAACAGATCACCAGTACAGGTTCGATGCATGAGACAAGTGCTCGGGGCTGGTGCACTGGGATGACCCTGAGGGATGGGATGGGGAGGGAGGCGGGAGGGGGGTTCAGGATGGGGAACACATGTACACCCATGGCTGATTCATGTCAATGTATGGCAAAACCCACTACAATACTGTAAAGTAATTAGCCTCTAATTAAAATAATAATAAAAAAAACAGGCAATACCCATTTTTAAAATTAAGTATTTTGGCATGTAGAAAAAGAATCCTCAAGCTTATGAATCTTGCAAGACATGAAGCTGGCATCAATAGAAACGACAGTCCAGTCTATGATTGCATATGAAAAAAGCAGAAAATGGTGGCCCTGAGGAAGAGCTTGGCCTGCCTAAGAAGAGCCCTGGCCTGGGAGGGGCCTGGGAGGGCTTATCAAGGAACTGAATGAAAGGTTGCAGACCTTAGCAGCAGTTGTGAAATGGGAGGTTTCCTCCACTTTGCCAGAAAACAAATTCAAAATGGTATTAGAAATGAAACAGATGGCTGTAATTTCCTCTAAATAAATATATATGTGTATTAAAATTACAATTTTAAGGCAATTTTGAAGGCAAAAGGAGAAAAGAATGGCAGAGGATGAGATGGTTAGAGCGCATCACCAACTCAATGGACATGAACTTGAGCAAACTCCAGGAGACAGTGGAGGGCAGGGAAGTCTGGTGTGCTATAGTCCATGGGGTTGCAAAGAGTCAGACATGACTTAGCAATTGAACGACGACAAAATTACAAATTATATTTTCGCTATTTTACCTAGAAAACTAAAGAAGTCTTATTTTAAAACAAAGTATCAAATTGATTAGTCAGCTGGACAGACGGGAAAGTTAATAGCTTTTCCTTATTAGCATCAACTACATAGATTCCAAAATTAGAAGACCAACTCTATTCACATTAAAAAAAAAGTTTTTAGGAATAGTTTTTAAAAAGAAGGTTCAGAACCTATGTAAAGAAAAGTATAAATATAAAAATAGCATAAACTCTGAATAGAAAGGTATCTCATTTCCTAAGGGCAAGTCTTACCATTAGATTATCAGTTTTCTCATAATTAACACAGAAATATCTATCAAGTGATTCCAATAAGAATTCTAGTTTTTATAATTAAATTTTTACTTTAAAATTTTTTAAATTATGCACTTTTCAAACAAATTCAAAAGACAAACTGTTAATTTTGAGACTTCAGCAATATATATTAGTGACAAAAGACTACTACTCATATCACATTTTATAAAGAACTCCTCTGTTAAAAAAAGAGACCACAAAAAGGAAAAATGGGCAAAGGATATCAATGTATGGCAAAAACTACAATACTGTAAAGAATTAGCCTCATTAATTAATTAGGAATCATATGTAAAAAAACAAATCGAAAAAGAATGAGAAAGAACCTGGCTTATCAGTCATGAACATATTATAGAGCCACTACCATGAAAACCTTGGTTTTGCCGAGCCTCCGGAGTCATCTGATGAAACCTTCAAAGCCCTTCTTAGAATGCTTTTAAAGTATAAATCAAACACACAAGATTAAAGAAAATTAGACACACTAAAATCCATAACCTTCCTTGGTGAAGAGACACCTAAATAGAAGGCCAGAGTAGACTCCACTACTTACACGAATTTTATCGAGGGCAAAATGAGTATTTCAGCGCAGTGGGGAAGTGTTGGCTCCCATATGAAATACAAGATGGTTCCCTACCCTGTGTCATAAGCAAAAGTGAATTCTAAGTTAGTAAAGGTTTAAAAAGAAAAAACTAAGTCTCAGAAGAGGTTAAGGAGATTGCATGTACAGTCTAAGAGCTGAGGAACCCAAAAGATAAAATATTTTAAAAAGTTGTAAGAAAAAACACAGCATAAACAAACTGAAAGGCAAACATTGGGTTAGAAACAAATGCTTAAAACTTAAATATATGGGTTAGTAGCTGTGCTATATAAAGAGCTCATAAACATCATAAAATCAGAAAACTGAATAGAAAAATTGGCAAAGGATATGAATAATCATTCCAAAAAACAGCAACTCCAAATATGAAAAACTGCTCTACGGAAAATGCAAACTAATGTAAGCTAACATCTTACAAGTAACAAAGTGGCAAAATTTAAAACTTGAGGACACCTCCTGCTCCTGATGGTGAATGCAGGGGGGGATATCCTTATATACTGCTAGTAGAAATGTAAATTGTTACAGATTTTTGGAAAGCAATTTACAAGACACATCAAAATGAAAAAATAAATTTTCTTTGGCCAATAGATCCAACTCTTAGAAGTTGGATCCTATAGAAACAAAAAGGTATACATACAAGAATATTTATTGAAGCACCATCTGCAAAGGCAAAAATGGAAACAATGTAAATGCCCAATACTAGAGGAATGATTAAGTAAACTGATAATCCACGGCATCGAATATTAATATTGCAAAATCACTGAAACAGATGCTGTGTATGCTCAATTGTCTCTTTGCAGCCCCATGAACTGTAGTCCACCAGGCTCCTCTGTCCATGGAATTTCCCAGGCAAGAATATTGGAGTGGATTGTTATGCCCTCCTCCAGAGGATCTTCCCAACCAAGGGATCAAACCATGAATCTCCTGTCTCCTGCATTGGCAGACTATTTACCACTAGCACCACCTGGGGAGCTGAAATAGATGCTAGATGCATCCAAACTGGCTTGAAGGGATTTTCAAAATCTACCGTTAGGTAAGAACAGTAATATGAAGAGAAGAATATACAGATAATCTCATTTTTGTAAAATATCAAGAGTAAAATAATGCATATAGCAGAAAGGATACACACGCAAGATTGTAACAGTGATTATCTCAGGGAGGAAAGTGGGACAGTGAGTGTTAGGATGACAGAGGAAATAAAACCAAAAAAAAAACCACGAGACCCTATGAAGTAAGCCCTCAAAATTAGATTGTTGTTGTTCAGTTGCTGAGTCGTGTCCGACTCTGTGATCCCACGGACTGCAGCAAGCCAGGCTTTCCTGTCCTCCACTATCTCCCGGAGTTTGTTCATGTCCATTGAGTCGGTCATGCTCTCTAACCATCTCATCCTCTGCCACCCTCTTCTCCTTTGCCTTAAAATTAGATACATGTATGCCGCTGCTGCTGCTAATTCACTTTAGTCGTGTCCGACTGTGCGACTCCATCCCTGGGATTCTCCAGGCAAGAACACTGGAGTGGGTTGCCATTTCCTTCTCCAATGCATAAAAGTGAAAAGTGAAAGTGAAGTCGCTCAGTCATGTCTGACTCTTCGCAACCCCATGGACTGCAGCCCACCAGGCTCCTCCGTCCATGGGATTTTCCAGGCAAGAGTACTGGAGTTGGGAGCCATTGCCTTCTCCAAGATACATGTATATATATCCACAAAAAATACATATGAAAGTAACCCCACTAAAATATTAAGTTATTTAAGAATAATGGCTTTTCAAGTGATAGTGATCAACACACTGAATGAACTCCATGTAGGAAGAGTCCCTACAAAGACGGTATACACCACAGCATACCTTTAATTACAAAAAAACCCCCAAAAATCCAACTCAAACTGGCTTAAACAAAAAGAGAGATTACTGACTCACATAAGTGAGAAGTCCAGTAGTAAAGCTAACTTCAGGTGCAGTTTGATCCAGATGCTCCAGACTTCATCAAGGCCCCAACTCAGACTCCCTTTCCTTTTCTTAGTACAGCCCTCAAGGTGGCTCCTTTAATTCAGAAAAACTGGCTACAGCAAGTTCAGAGTTATCACCCCACATTATCTCCAACAAAGTGTGGCCTTCTGTAGTTCCCGAGGGAGGCTTAGCCAACATGCTGTAACTAAGTGGCCTGATCTGGGTCTGTCACCCATCCGTGAACCATGTACTGGGGGGAGTGGGGCAAGTGGCACTGGTTTAAGAGAACCAGGTCAGCTCTGGAGCTGACGGTGTGAGAATCCCATCCAAACTGCGTGCATGACGGAGGGCCGTTATCCAAAGAAAAAGGGGATGGTACTTTGAGAATGAGGTTGATGTTGGATGGGCAACTACAACATAACATGAAAAAGGAATAAAAGAAAATAATACAAATATCTGATGAAATACTAGAAGTGCTCAACCACACTAGTAATCAAAGAAATACAATAAAATTGCATACTTTTGTTATATATCAGGTTAATGAAAGAAAAAGACACTGCTTGTATGTGAGAGAGACGGTGAGGGAGCAGGCCCCATGAAAAATAAAAGCTCAATCACTACTGGAAATGTCTGTGACAAAACAGCTGTAACTAAGAGGCAATGAAACAACCTATTCCACCTCTAGATACACTGCTGATTCATAAATATGAAACAAAAGGCTAGCAACAAATAGTAAAACTTAATGTAACAGAACTTAAGTCATGTTTCCTTTCCTCCAACCTGACAGATGTTCCTATTAAAAAGAAAAGAACAACAACAACAAAAAACCTAACCCTAACCCCAGAGATTTCTGGGTAAATCTATATTCCTTATCTCCAAATCTTGACTTGGCTTATTCTTTCCGTTCTCTTCCTCCAACATTTCTAGACAAAACCCAAGGTGAAATCTATAGCTGATTACCCTCAGCATAGCTGGGGTCAGAACTAGTATAAAATCATCTAAAACTGATTAAATTATCTTATTACCATCTCTAACTAGGGAAAATAAATGAAGGACACAAACATCTCCTAAGTATGACTGGTGAAATGAACCTCAAAATATAGAAGCATAAGGCTTGAATACTGAAAAGACCTACAATCTACAGGATTGAGAGGATTATCCCACTTCATTTGAAAACCAGAAAAAAATACACATTAAAGTGTATTTAAATATATTATAGATATGAGGTAGGTCTGTGTTATCCCACACTTGGAACAGAATCATGTAATCATGTGTATTTGAGTACATGAATCACAATGAATCAAAATCAAGACCAATTCCACTATGTTCAATTAGAAAGTCAAGTGTGAATTTGTACATGGCAGCTGAGTACCTGAAATGAAAACACCCCCTAGATTTTAATTTGGAGCAAAAGGCTGTTCCCAGATTTAGTAACTTTTCTCATGTCCAATTATAAATAGGAAATTAAGGTGCCATAAGTTCTGACTTGTCTAGGTCAAAGATTTTCATTCCACCATAAGGAGGTAAAAGAACCAGGAGACCACCTACCCTACTAACTTTGAGGTAAAATGACTTACACAGTTGGTTTACATCAATGGGACTTACTCTATAACCAAAAAATCTGAAATACACCTATTACACATAACAAAAGAATGATAAACCTCCTATTTTAAAACAGAAAAACCACTACAATATGTGAAGTAATTAGCCTCCAACTAATAAAAATAAAGGAAAAAAAAATAAAACACAAGACACATATGGAGGAAGGAGATTTAAAGGAAAGATTGAAAAACTGGTTTGAGATTTAAAAAACAAAACAAAAAAACAGAAAGCTAGTAACTAGCCATAGCAAAGGGAGCCGTTGTTAAGAGCACCACCGGCTCAGGAGTGAAGATGCCTTGACTGGAATCCACCTCTCACTGATTAGCTTCCTTAAAATATTCGTATTTCATTATTTTCATCTTTAAAATGGGCAGTACCAACCAATCTCTTAAGGTTGCTGTGAGGTTTAACGAGATAAACCAGCACTTAGAACAGGGCTTGACACCAAGGAAGCTTCAATAAATGTTAACTATCCCTCTTAATATAAACCGAAGTTATTTGTTTGTTTAGCTCTGTATGAGTATTCCCAGAATTCAGAATGAAGTGAAGTGAAAGCTGCTCAGTCATGTCTGACTCTTTGCAACCCCATATATGGACTATATAGTCCATGGTATTCTCCAGGCCAGAATACTGGAGTGAGTAGTCTTTCCCTTCTCCAGGGGATCTTCCCAACCCAGGGATCTAACCCAGGTCTCCTGTATTGCAGACGGATTCTGCACCAGCTGAACCACAAGGGAAGCCCAAGAATACTGGAGTGGGGAGCCTAACTTCTAATCGTTCTAATTTGCTCCTTCTGCAAAAGGCACTCAACTTCAAATGACTGAGAAATGAAGAACTGACAAAATCCTGTTATTTAAGTGACAATTTTTAGCTATTACAACTACTTCATTTAGAAAACCTACACTATGAAACAAGAAGCTTGCAACAAGAGTAACTCTTCCAACAAGAGTTATATATATATATATATAAAATCTATATTCTATATTCCTACAGAATATGGGAAGTAGTAGAATATTCAGGATTTCCTCAGCTGATGGGAGTAACAAGGAAATGTATAATATTCCTGCACAAATGCATCTAGGGAAAGCAGGCTAGATTTATTAGAAAACTATAAAAGGTTACAATATAAGTCAAACAAAATTAGTTGTTAAAAGTTAAGTGACTCATATGTATCCAAATTCTGACCAAATAAAGACAATCCAAAGCATAGGAAGAATATTCTATGGCTCAAGGAGCAAATAGCAATAAACAGTAATGTCAATACAGAAACCACATAAATATACAAATCTACAGTTTTAATGTAACAACAAATCATAAGTACATGTGTTAGCTATCTTTCTCTAACATTAAAGTAGTATATGTTTCATTTTTTGTAAAAACATATGCAACGCATAAAACCTTTAATCCCATGTAATACAGTCTAACAAGTGTGAATCACGTAGAATGTTAAGATTTTCTTTTATGTGAAGATATACATTTCAGTCTATTATCACAGGCATTGTAAAGGTGACCCACAAAAATGTTTATCGTTTGCAACTGTATATAGAGAACAAGCCGCCCAGAAATTAGTATTTCTTATTAATCTTACTGAGTGGTATTAAAGTGGCCTGCCTGAAAGGGCAAATTACTTATCTGGAAACTTAAAATAGCAGAGATCAATGTATATTAAATAATACATGAGTGAAAAAAATATACAATGTACAATAGCAGGAGGTTACAAAACTGAATACTGTGTAAAAGATTTATTAGTCTGTACAAGTTTGTACCAAGATTTTCACTGCAACAGTATTTTCCCATATACATCGAAATCTGGAAGCAATATGCCTTTCTCAAATTATAGTTTAGTGTTTTTTTCCCCCAACCCTCAAAACACGGAAATATGTTTTTGAATATCAACTAGTCATTTATGGAAGTCCTAAGATACAGATATTCAACATTACACAAGCTATAATTGAAGTACCGGAACAAACACCACCAACATTTATGGGAAAAGGTGTTGGTTTTAAAGGTGATAAGTGCTACATGAGTTACATAAACATACTACTCCTGTCCTTCTGAAACCAAAATGGGGGAACCTTATTGCCATTCTGTCAACCACCACACAACCCAAAATGCTGCACAGAGGCTCATGAAGCCATGTACACATCACAGAATTAAAACTCCAGCTAAGTAATGAGCTACTCTTGAAGGCAAGGAAGACCAAACTTCTTTAACATATTAATGCTACTTCAGAAGTATCATCAGAACAAATGGGATTTAATTATAAATTGGCCTCAACCACATTCTGCAAAGAGGATTTTGCTTAATACTCAAGAGAATCCGTCAGCAAACATCCTAGGAAAGCTGTGGAATCATGCTCTTTGTTAGTCCTGAAGGGAAATCTGCCAGGTTTGATGATATCTGTTTATCTCCCAGTGGTCCTGGGAGTTCTACAATACCAATTAATTCAGTAATTGATAAGTATTTAAGCAAAAAGGAGACCAAAACTAGACTTTGTATCGACATATACTAGAGAGGTGGATTTTTAAAAAATCACATGATGAATGTAAATCATAAAATCAAATGTACTTATAAAGGTACACCTATTTTATGTTACATAAAAAACTGCAGATTGCAAACTGTGCATGCTTACGTTTTACCTGGAAAAGTCAATGAGTGGGCTTTCTCACAAATATTTACTGCCATGATACAAAACAAATATGTGCAAACTGCAAGGTCCCTAAAATAGCAGTTAGAGAGTTTCTATACAGAAAGATGACATTATCTGATCAAATACGCAAGAGATGGCGTCTCCCAGAGTTTATAACACAGAACAGTAACCACCACACGCTCCGCCGCCTGGGCCTTCTTCCCTGGGTGTCAGCTTGACTCCTTTATTCTGGTTCTCACTTTCCCACAGTCCAGGGGTCTGAATGATCTTTTCAACAAGTTCCTCAAAAGCACACTGTACACCATCACAGGTTTTTGCACTTGCCTCTGAAATTCAAGGAAAAACGTCAAGAGTATATTCTCTTCTAGTCGTGTTTCTATGTTTTTCTGGAAAACTATTATAGCAGAAATATCAGCGGACAATATATTTTTACATATATGGTTTCTCCCCACAGGTTTAATGTTAGTGAATCTCCTGCAACTCTCAAAGTTAAGCTATTTAAATTCTATTCATAAGATTAGTGGTATATAAGCTCAAGATTTTGTGGCAGAATTGTAAATTTTAACACCCCACTCAAATATCCTTAAGTGTGCCAAAGTTCTTAATTTTTTGGTTAGTTCTTAAATTAGCCTCTGAAGCAGATATCATTCCCATTTTAGAATAAGGAAATTTAAGCTCCAAGTTAAACAATTAATCTGGTTGTTCTGTGCCTGCAACGAACAGGTGGTTGGATAAGTGATGTACAAACTGTGAACACTAGTTCCATTTTCAATTTATGCTCAGGAGATCCATGTGGATACTCAGGACTGCTCACTCATCTTGTGTTTCCCCACTGACTTTTTCCCAGTCTGATGACTATTTTATGTCTTCATCTTAAAGCTACTCTACCTCAACTGATGATCCAGCTCTACACTGGGAAAAGCAGAAACAATCTGGCAAGAACTACTGATCACCCCACTAATAGATTGACCAACCCACCGGCATTGTCTTTAGGCTTTGCCTTCACTCCTGTTATGATGGATGAACCATCCTGGCTGCCAGCTAGGGCCATCCTTCTGTCTACTTCCCAGGATCCCAACCCTCCTCATTCACTGAAGGATCGTGGACCCACTCTACTGGATTATATACCAACCAGCTTGAAAGCCCACCAAAATTACTGTCCATCTTTATTAATCACTCACCCCCTGACTAACCAACCTGCCCTCCAGCCCACTTATCCTCTAGTAGCCACCTACTTTTCCCACTCTCTTCCAAAACAAAACAGTGATAGAGTTATCTATATAAGTTGTTACCACTTTGTCTCCAATTTTTCTTCAAACTAATCTAATTAGGTTTTTTATTACACCACTCCATGGAAACTGTTCTTTTAAAGATGACCTATAATACCCACTAGCTTGTCAAATCCAATGTCCTTTTCTTATTTGACATCCTGCAGCATCTGATACAGCTGGTCACTGTTCTCCTTTAAATACTTTGTCCACCTGACTTCCAAGACAGCTGAACACTCCTGGTGCTCCTCTCACTGGCTCACTGTTCACAACCTTACTCACTGGCACCTCCCCTTCTGCTGACTTCTAACTGCTGGAGTACCCCAGGGTTCAGTCTTCAGCCCTTTTCTATCCAGCTTTTCTTGTAGTGACTGCTCCAATCTCATGACTATCAATGCCACCTAAATGCCAATGACCACGATGTCCACTCATTGTCTCAAAGACAGTTCATTCTTATGTCTAAGCAGAAATCTTGGGTCCCTGCTCCTCTGCATAAACCTGTTCTTGTCTTGACCTTCCACATCTTACTTACGGCACCACCATTCACCTAGTTGCCCACGCCAGACTTGAGCCCATCTTTGATTGCTCTTTCCTTACCCTGCACCCCCAACCTATCCACCTGACAGTTTTACCCTCAAAGTGTTTCCTGGGTCTGCCAACTTTCCACCACTACTACTGCCCACTGCAGTCAGCGCCCCCAACATTACCCATTGAGGTCACTGTAAGTACTTAGCCTCGTGCTTCTGCTTCTTATGGTCAAATGAATCTTCTTAAAAGAATATCAAACCACAGCACTACTCCCATGCTTTCTACCACACTTGAAATACAATTCATTTCTTTACCATATCCCAGGAAGTCCAACACTAACTTCCATCATCACCAACCTTTCCTCCAACACACTCTGTTCCAGCCCATAAGCTTTCTCTTGTTTCTTGGACACACTACAGTGGTTCCTGCCTCAGGAATAAGATGCTCTCTATCTAGATCTTCATACCATGAATTCTTGCTCAAATGGTGCTCTCTCAAAGAAGGTTTCCTTATTTCCCCCCACCCTCGTCATTCTCTCCCCTTACAACATTTTATTTCATGCAGAGCACTAGTTATGAATTCGAGTCTGCTTCCCATACTGGAATGTACGTAAGTTCCCTGAGGGCAGAGAGTTGGACCATTTTGTTCATTGTTCTATTCTGTGTTCAATAGATATTAATTGAACAAACTAATATATGGAAATAGAAGACACCTAGCAAGTAAGCAGCAGCAGTATTACACAAGCCCATTCTAAAATTTCCTATACTTTCCATTTGTACCACCCCACTTCTATCCATACATGATGTTCTCCCATTTCTATTTCCTGATTCCTACTAGGTTCATACAGTGGGGAACAGTGAAAACAGTGATTCTTAAAGCTCTTAAAGCTGGCTTCACATCAGAACCAGCTAGGGTGTTTTATAAACTGCTCTGTTTCAGACCTGTCATAAGTAAGGCCCAGAGAGTTGTAATTTTTAAAAGCTCCCAAGTGATACTGCCAGTCCACTTTGCTGGACAAGGGGTCAGTCAACTTTTCCTGTAAGTGGCTAGAGAGTAAATATTTTGGGTGGTGATGCCATATTGTCTCCACTGTAATGACAGACCTCTGCCACGAAGCACAAGGGCAGCCATAGACAATAATGCAGATGGTGGGGCATGGGCACGGTGTGCTTCCTTACAAATGGCGGGGCCAGATCTGGTCCAGGCTGTGGCTTGCCAACCCCTGCTCTACAGAGCTTCTCCAATATTAGCAGGATACAAATCACATCCTGTTAGAATGCAGACTCTAATTCAGAACCTATGGGTTAGGGCCTCAAATGCAGCATTTCTGACAATGGTGGTGCTGCCAGGACATGGCCCAGCAGGTACGCACGCCTACAGCACTGGGTCACAGGAGGAGAGAATCATGTGCTGTGTTCCATACAACCTCATATTGATCCTATTCCTTTTCACAGAGGGAAAAATAAGGAACATAGTTCTACAGTCAGCTAGTTTTACAGCACAGCTATGAACTAAAAACATAATTTTTATGGTTCATAAAGAGAAGAATGTAACAGAAACTCCATTTAAAAACTCTTCATTAATAATGAAAAGATAAACATTCACACACGTACCTATAAATAACATTGAATGCTTTCGTGCAAATTTCAGGCCTTCATTTCTATCAACTTCACGATTTTCCTAAAACATAAATGCAAAGATTAAGAAAAGCTATCAAAATATACAGCCAAACTGCCAAGTGTCTGACTTCTCACCTTATCAATTTTATTTCCAACTAGCATGTTTACTATGTCATTTCTCGTGCAGTATGTTTCCAACTCATTTAACCAATTATCCAGTTTAACAAAGGTGTCTCTTCTTGTGACATCATAAACTGAAATAAAAAGAATCATTTATTAAATAAATATCAAAAGCAAGAAGCAATGACATTATATATCTGATATGTACTAGGAACTGACATTAATATATAGGCAAGTCTGTTTTTTAAGCTGTTAATGCTTTAAAAATCAATGCCCACTGATCCAGATGGAAGAAACAAGTGTCTTTTTTAAAAAATGCATTTATATACACTTCAATTTAATTAACATATGCTGTTAGAGAAATGAAATAGCTGTCTTCATAACAATTAAAAAAAAGAAAGTGAAAGGCGTTCAGTCATATCCGACTCTGCGATCCCATGGACTATACAGTCCATGGAATTCTCCAGGCCAGAATACTGGAGTGGGTAGCCTTTCCCTGTTCCAGGGGATCTTTCCAACCCAGGGATCAAACCCAGGTCTGCACTCCCACATTGCAGGTGGATTCTTTACCAGTTGAGTCACAAGAGAAGCCCAATAAGAAAAAAGGTTTGTCTAAAAGTTAAAAGGTATTTAGACTCAAATCGGCAAAATAAAAAAAAAATTTACATAAATTTAAACATCTGTGAACCCATTAACTTATTTCTCACAAGGACCAGAATTTGCAAACTTGAAAACATATGTAAAGTTAGAGGGTGGGCAACGAGGACCTACTGTATAGCACAGGGAACTCCACTCAATGTCACGTGGCAACCTTGGATAGGAGACAAGTTTGGGGGAGAATTGGTACATGTGTATGTATGGCCGAGCCCCTTGACCACCTGAAACTATCACAATGTTGTTAACTGACTATACCTCAACACAAAATACAAAAAAAAGTCAGTGGGTGGAGCCCTGACTGTCTTCCTCTGTTTACATGTTCATCACTCTGCATTATATGAAATAATTTGTTAAAGTGTTTTCTAAACTTAGGAGATACTGAACCAAAACCGAGAGAGTCACTGTCAAATTAAAAGAAATGAAACCAAAGCCTCACAAGTTGTGATATAAAATGAGGTCTCTCCCTACAGTTGAACAGTATTCATTTTAGACAGTTTCCCAGCAATATTAAGAACAAGCACTTTTCAACAAATTATACTGAAAATCCACACTTGGTTTTTAAGTTCTGTGCAATTATAAACCAATATCATTAAGTGCTTTGAGCTATTTTTCAAGACTAATAAAACAGATTCCACTAAGCAACCAACACTCCTTCCATTATAATCTGGCAGTAAATATAAGTAAGCTGCTAACTGAAGATAAGTTTCTGGTAATACTCTAAGATCAACAACACAAGGACTGGGTCCTCACTTATATACTCATCAACACGTGCTTTTAACCCAAATAAATAATAGAGGTGTTTTAATATAGATAAGCAATTTTTAGGCTGTACTTTAAAAAATGTTTTCTATGTATTTTCTTTCCGGAAAATGCATTAAAACCAAACCACTTCTTATTACATGGTTCTGATCTTTATTTTTTAATTGCTAGACAAAGGAAACAAAATTTTAAAAGTTTTAAAATATTCCCTAATATTACATAAAGTTAATATAAATTAAAGTCACATAAAAGCAGCCCTAAAGAAAAATAAAGCAAAAAGTTACTGACCTTCACAAACAGGAAAATCAGAAATTCCAGTAATACAACAACAATATATTTTAAACAGTAAAGTAAAACCTTACCTAAAATAACACCCTGTGCACCTCTATAATAGCTGGGAGTTAATGTTCTGAACCTTTCTTGACCAGCAGTATCCTAAAAGTGACAATCAATTATTATTAAACAAAACACTGGATAAATAACAGATCTTCAAAATATTAATTTAAGAGTAGAAAGTTAACAGCAGAATTAAAACATCAAGCTCATTTAAAACTTAAAATTTAAATGAGATGTGTTCTTTTACTGACAAATGCTACATAAAAATTAAATTAACAGCTACTGCCTCATCTCTAGGAAAAAATGTAACAAAGTACAGATTTTCTACCACTTTGGACTTAAGATTTTTATCACATATGAAACCCATTTCATTGAAAGCCAAGGTTCTCAACTCTGGCGGCACAATAAAATTTCCTGGGAAATGAAAAATACAGATACTGAGGTTCAACCCACAAAGATTCTGATTTAATAAGGGCATGAGAGAAGTTTTAATAAGCTTCTCAGGTGATTCTAACATAGAGTCAAAGATTGAGAACTACTATTAAAGAGCATTACCGGGGTGTTTTATTTTAGGTAAGCAGTGTTTAGGCTGTACTTTTTAAAATATTTTCTATGTTTCTTCTTCCAGAAAAATGCAGGAAAACCAAACCACTCCTTATGTTTCTGATCATACCTGGGGTAATGAATATAAAATATACACTAGCTAGGAAATGTAAATTTCGTATGGAAGGGAACTTCTCTGCTCAATGACTTGTTTAACCCCAGAGCCTAGAGAAATTCTTGCCACAGGACAGTTGCTCATATTTTGTTGGAAAAAAAAATAGAAAACTAATAACAAGCCTCTTCTGGGCCTGGTTCCTTCTGTCTTCCTTCTACCATCTTTGGACTGTGGCTTCAAGTCTACCTAAGATTATGCAAATGTGCGGTCTGCAAACTGCTGCCTCAGCCCACCACCTGTTTCATTACTTAAGCTTTTATTAAATAAAGTCTGACTGGAACACGGCCAGGCCCATTCACTTGTGTACTGCCATATGGACTGCTGTATGGCCCACCTTGGGGCTGGACTAAACATTTACTATCTGGCCTTCAAAGAAAAAGTCTGCAGTCTGCTAATGTAAAATGACCTGAAGAAAAATAAAGACATACATCAAACATCAACAACTACCAGTCCTCTGATTTTAAGTGTGAGTTTAGCTATGGGGCAAGCACAAGCTCAGCTGGGTCAGGACTTATGATAACCATACAATAAATAGTCAGAAGTTAGATAACTGCTTGCCTTCAAAACAAGAATTCGTAGTAAGAGTAAAAACATCTTTGTAAGATAAAAGAAGCAAAGTTTATTATCTGTGGTTTTATTTTCTGATGGGAGAAGAGAGAATGGATATTAAAGACAGAAAAGGACAGAGGAAATGGACAAAGCTGGAAAGGCTAAATAACAGAAATTGGGGCGCAGAAGGGCAGGAGGATGCAGAGAAAAACCAGCCGAGAGGTGGGTACCACGTAGGTCCTGATGAACATGCTGCACCATCAGGGGAGGAGAAGCAGGGTGAGGCTCAACTATTCTACTTGAGTAATCCCAGGAGGTGCATCCAACAGGGAGAGGGACTGATTTTATTTACATGAATAAAACCTCAGAAAAATGAGAGGCAACAACGGATTCATATATTTCTAACACTGACTTAGAAGGCCCTCCTATATACGACATGACACCCAGAAGCATGAAAAAAATGACTGATTCAATCATGTAAAGATGAAAACCTTGGTATGACCTAAGAACCTCTCCCCAACACCACACTCACCCCCCTTTTGCCCCTGACACTCATCCTCAACAAGATTTGAAGGTAAATCACAAACTAGGGGAAAAAAAACATGCAGCATGTAACAGAGTTAGTATTACACATGAGAACATTAATAAATACTCATCTTAAGATTCTGAAGACAAATGACAGAAAAAATGTGGTGTATGACAAAAAGCTAGTATTTTTATTGTATAAAGACTTTAATCATGAAGAAAATGAGCACAATATAAAAAAGGCAAAGCATATTAAAGAAAATTCATTAAAATAGAATCATACAATAAGAAAAATCTCACTAATCACTATTCACTAATCAAAAGAAATGCACATATAAGTGAAAAACTATTACTCAGAGAGGCAAAAATGAGAGAGATTTACAATATATAGTACAGAAGACCTTCTTCCTAAATCTTAATGTTAAATCTTCACATTCTTTTAGCCAATAATTCACTTTCTAAGTATACATCGTAAAGAAAGTGGACAAGTGCACAGAGACGTAAAAATTAGGAGGTTCACCAAGGCACTGATGATCTTTGTGAAAAACTATTAACACTGTAAATATCTTTCACTGAGGGTTGACTAAATTATAGTCATAACATGGATACAAATGGTCATTTAAACTGATGGACTTCTGTATTGACACAGAACAATGTATACAATGTACGTGCGTGTTAGAAATAGTGTGCCATTCAGAGAATGCCATTAACATGAATGACATCATACAATGCATGAACACTTGCTGGTTCAATCTGTAACTGACACCCAGCCAGCATTTACTCTTTAACGACCATAATGAAGTATGACTCAACTTGACTGCAGACCAGTTCTAATGTGATTATCATGTTATAAAAATATACTGAGATATTTAACTATAGCAGATGTGGGGATCTGATGAGTATATTTTTATACATTTTATATGTAACACATTTACTATATAAGCAATCACATTTAGATGGAGAGACACGAAGGCGGGAGAAAGGAAGGAGCAGACAGATACAGACTGAGCGTCCGGGGGGTTCTGACAGCAAGTGCTGCCTTACTCAGCACTGCCAGGGAGAGGTCGACTTAGCTGAGAATGTAGACCAGAACAGCTGGGTTCACAGGCAAATGAAAAGAAGCCAGTAAGTAAACACTGGGCATCAGTATTTAAAAAATCCAAAGTTGCCAAACTCAAGTGTTATAGGTATTTACACAAACAAACACGAAAAATCATGTTTTCTAAGTATTATTTCATTCCCTTCTCCCCAACAACTGCCTTCAGCACTAGTTCAGTGTAACTTGTCTTTTTTAAAACTTCAAAGAAACACATTCAATAACAATGATTCTCTGTGGCAGATGACTTTTTTTTTTAAATACTGCTTTCAAATATTCTGAAGAGACTACATATTTTAAAAATCTGAGCAGGTGAAACAGGTCTCTGCCTAATTACAGAATTATAAAACATAATTACTTATTGTCTATCCAGTAATCAGCATCAAATCTCCCAAGTTACTTAATACAAATTGCTCATTCCCCTGTAGGACACTACACACATCAATCTTTGCGTCTTCAAAAAGTACAAGCTTAATATTTATACAAAATACATTTTAAAAATTCTTACCCATATTGCAAGTTTTGCCTTATTTCCGTCCACTGAAATTGTTTTCACCTTAAAATCAACACCTTGAAAAAATGAAACATTTTATAAGAATTCCAATAAACTTTAAAAATCAATTATCAAGAAAACCAAGAAAGAAAAAAGCCACTAATGCCCAAATTTACATCCAAATTCTTAGTTATGGATATGAAGATGAAAGAAAAGTGTCACTAAAGTTTAGCAGCTTAGGATTTAATCAGAGAAATGAAAACCAAATGCTTGTAGAATTCATTCATCCACCAGTACTTCTTGAAAAACACTTAAAAAAAAAAAAAGAAAGAAATTCAGTGTAAGATGGTGACTGTGCATTAAAAGTCAACAGCTAGAATTCACAGTGCTAATGGGTGGATGAGGGCACTTTGGCCAGAGGTGCTCTAAGCTATCATTAAAGAGTGTTGTCCATTGCTGGCCAACACCCTAAATCAGATTCTGACTGTGGGCAACTTTGTTTTTTTTTTTTTTAATTTTTTTTTTTATACATGGAATTTTATTTATTTTTTTTTCTTTTCAGAATTTTTATTTTTTTTTACATTTTATTTATTTATTTATTTTTTTCACAACCATAGTGTATCTTTTTTTTTTTTTTTTTTTAACATGTATTCCCCATCCCGGTCCCCCCTCCCACCTCCCTCTCCACCCGATCCCTCTGGGTCTTCCCAGTGCACCAGGCCCGAGCACTTGTCTCATGCACCCAACCTGGGCTGGTGAACTGTTTCACCCTAGATAATATACGTGTTTCAATGCTGTTCTCTTGAAACATCCCACCCTCGCCTTCTCCCAGAGTCCACAAGTCTGTTCTATACATAGGAGTCTCTTTTTCTGTTTTGCACATAGGGTTATCGTTACCATCTTTCTAAATTCCATATATATGTGTTAGTATACTGTAATGGTCTTTATCTTTCTGGCTTACTTCGCTCTGTATAATGGGCTCCAGTTTCATCCATCTCATTAGAACTGATTCAAATGAATTCTTTTTAATGGCTGAGTAATATTCCATGGTGTATATGTACCACAGCTTCCTCATCCATTCGTCTGCTGATGGGCATCTAGGTTGCTTCCATGTCCTGGCTATTATAAACAGTGCTGCGATGAACATTGGGGTACACGTGTCTCTTTCAGATCTGGTTTCCTCGGTGTGTATGCCCAGAAGTGGGATTGCTGGGTCATATGGCAGTTCTATTTCCAGCTTTTTAAGAAATCTCCACACTGTTTTCCATAGTGGCTGTACTAATTTGCATTCCCACCAACAGTGTAAGAGGGTTCCCTTTTCTTCACACCCTCTCCAGCATTTATTGCTTGTAGACTTTTGGATAGCAGCCATCCTGACTGGTGTGTAATGGTACCTCATTGTGGTTTTGATTTGCATTTCTCTGATAATGAGTGATGTTGAGCATCTTTTCATGTGTTTGTTAGCCATCTGTATGTCTTCCTTGGAGAAATGTCTGTTCAGTTCTTTGGCCCATTTTTTGATTGGGTCATTTATTTTTCTGGAGTTGAGCTGGAGGAGTTGCTTGTATATTTTTGAGATTAATCCTTTGTCTGTTGCTTCGTTTGCTATTATTTTCTCCCAATCTGAGGGCTGTCTTTTCACCTTGCTTATAGTTTCCTTTGTTGTGCAAAAGCTTTTAAGTTTCATTAGGTCCCATTTGTTTATTTTTGCTTTTATTTCTAAAATTCTGGGATGTGGGTCATAGAGGATCCTGCTGTGATTTATGTCGGAGAGTGTTTTGCCTATGTTCTCCTCTAGGAGTTTTATAGTTTCTGGTCTTACATTTAGATCTTTAATCCATTTTGAGTTTATTTTTGTGTATGGTGTTAGAAAGTGTTCTAGTCCATTCTTTTACAGGTGGTTGACCAGTTTTCCCAGCACCACTTGTTAAAGAGGTTGTCTTTTATCCATTGTATATCCTTGTGTGGGCAACTTTGAAGATTGGTAAAATTATAAAAGGGCCACTCTCTCCTTGCCTTATGAATTTCTTTGTCTTTCTTTTTGTCCTAAAGAAAAGTATTCACTTTACATAACTTTATCAACTTGCTACTGTATGCTACTGTATGACTGCAAAAAGAGAATTTACACACAAAAACATCTATGCCCAATCCTTTAAGAATCTTCGTAAGTGAAAGAGGAGTGCTCAAGGAGCAGTGAGAATCTGTAAGCACTGATTTATGTAAAGAGAAGACGAATTCCGTAAGAAGTTATAAGGGTTTATTACGGCAGCCCCGCAAAACCTTTCCCTTTCCAGAAAAAGGAGTTGACACATGCCATCTGGCTTAAATGAGCAGTGACTGCCCAGTGTCTTAACAGTATCAAAAATAATGTGCAGTCTCTCCCACTGGCCAGAGAAAACATTTAACTCCAGACACTTGGAAAGAACCTTTCAAAAGATTTTAGTTTGTCACAATTAATACAGGACAGCCAAAACTAACATGATATGTATATATACATGCTCATATACTAAATGCTTCCTAGAACACCCATCATCAATATGGAAATATATTAGTAATTCTTGGATGACTTCTGGTAATCCATTACATACACAAATGAGGTAATAAAATGCATTTCAAAACATGCATTACACCAGGTCTTTCTGTATGCCAAGGATTTTAAAACAACAGTTTGTGGTGTTTTGGGCTAAGGTGATAAGGAAGTTGATAAAGACATGTTTAGAATGTCAGGCAACAATGAGTTAAAGGACAGTGCTGACTGCAAAAGCCCAAGGAAAGCCTAAATGTAGTTTCTTTGTAGCCAAACAAAAAAAATTTTATATGTTAAAAAATCCTGTGTCCACCAGGCTTACATAAAGAAATATGCCACACCATCTATATTAAAAACATGGAATTTTTACATTCTACTCATGTTTGCTTAAAAAAAAACTTGAGAAAATGCAGATGAGAAAAATGGTTTTGACTTGGTCAAGGTACTAAATGCAGGCAATTGGTAGACATTTCATAGAGACAGCCTGTCATATATACTCTATAGTTAAATTCTCAAGGTTCTTCAGAGAAAATACAAAGCACTTCTTCTCCCTTGAATACCTACGACAACAGACCCAAGGGCAGACTGGCCTTCCTGCTAGCTTCCAGCTACTCAGTCCACCCAGGAAAAAAACTCCAAGTTCCAGCGTACCTGCGCTCTCCTCCCTTCCCCTTTCCTCTTTCTCTTTTATACTTTCTTGCATATATTTCTCGGCAGTCTAAGACTGTCTCTGAATAACTGTCTCTAAGTTACTCTTCAGACAGATTTGAAAGCTACAGATAGCACCCTCAGGAAACACTCCCCCTGGAGTCCCACCATCCAAGTTAGGAGGCAAGCGGCCTGAAAGGGTACTTCATCGGCACCAGGACCTTCAGTTTCCACTTATCCTCCCTTGGTTCCTCCGCGGAATCTCGTGTGCAGACACTGACCTCTTTAGCTCTTACCTGCTCAATATGCTTCTTCACCATGTCTGGATCTATTTTGCAAGTGACTATTAATTTGCCTTTACTGGTGGCAGCAGTGGGAATCTTTCTGATAAATTTGATTTTGCCAACTTCTCACTGTATTTGATTAAACTATCTCTTCAACCTCATGTGGATGACAAACAAGCAGGTCATAAAAGAAGAACAATATTTAGAAAAAATACTCCTTCCTGTCTCTCCTCCTAGCACGGAACACTTCTGTGAGCCAATATGCAGGGTTTCCCCCACAATAACCAATTCTTTGACTTTCCAGGGAAACCAGATGTGTGTCCCACAATTCAATTCAGTTCTGACACCATCTTCCTGAGGTTAAGAGGTAGACCCCACAGGGTCAAAGGGTAAAAGTGCAGTCCCACAAGACTGCCACACCCCACGTCAGATGCCAATCTCAAGTCCAGGTTATTACCTGTGCTTCTGACCAACTGGCTATAAACTAGAGGTTTCCACTTAGATTAATTTGAGATAGTAGCTCAAAGAACTTAGGAAAACAGTTTACTGACTTACTAGATTATCATTCTATTAGAAAAGGACACAACCCAGGAACAGCCAGATGGCAGAGACGCACAGCGCACAGTGTGGGGAGCTGGCAGAGCTCACACGCCCTCTCCACGAACATCATCCTCCCAGCACCTCCACGTGTTCTCCAACAGAGCTCTCTGAATCCATGGGCTTTCTTACGGAGGCTTGGGTGGTTAAATCTTTTGCCTCTGATGATTAAACAAAATCTCCAGCTCCTTTCCCCACCCTGGGAGTAAGGAAGGTAAACTAGAGCTAGAGTTCCAACCCTTTAATCACATGGTTGGTTCTCCTCTAGGCTTAGGGGCTTTCTAGAAGTCACATCAGTAATATAAATCCAGGTGTAGTTGAAAAAGGCCTGCTATGAAAATACAAAAAACATCCTGGGAATTCCCTAGCGGTACAGAGACTAGGATTTGGTGCTTTCACTACTGGGGCCTGGGTTCACTTCCTGGTTGGGGAACTAAGATCCTATAAGCTGTGTGGTGAGGCCAAAAAAAAAAAACAAAAAAAAGGAAAGAAAGAACAGACAAACAAAAGACATCTTTAATGATTCTTATCATTTAAGAAAATCCAAGGGTATGGCAGAAACCAACACAACATTGTGAAGTAATTATTCTCCAATTAAAAATAGATTTAAATTGTAAAAAATGATAATAAAGAAGAAAATCCAGTAGTTCAGGAGTTCTGTGGCAAGAATCAAACATATATTTCTTAACATAAACTATAAAATCACAGAACTGTCACTTCAGCTTTTCTCTAATTGTTCATTTGGGCTTGCATTTTTAATACAATATTCAATTCTGTCCCTTTGCAGGTATCTTTCCTTAGGCACAGGCCTATTTTATGAAGGTTGAAGTGAAAGTGAAGTCACTCCGTGTGTCCGACTCTTTGTGACCCCATGGACTATATGCAGCCTACCAGACTCCTCTGTCCATGGAATTTTCCAGGCAAGAATACTGGAGGTGGTTGCCATTTCCTTCTCCAAGAGACCATCCCGACCCAGAGATTGAACCCTGGTCTTCTGCATTATAGGCAGACGCTTTACCGT